CCCATGCATAATCTTATAAACCTCGATCATGTCACCCCTCAGCCGTCGTTTCTCCAAGCTAAAGAGCCCCCCAAGTGCTTTAACCTTTCCTCATAGGGAAAGTGTCCCAACCCTTTCATCATTCTAGTTGCCCTTTTCTGCCCTTTTCTCAATGCTATAATATTCTTTTTGAGGTGTGGTGACCAGAACTGTCCACGGTACTCCAAATGAGGTCGCAGAAGCAGGCATTTGTCTGCCGGGTACTCATGAAACTGCAGATGTTCCTACACAGTGATGATTCTCCGTGGAGCTTTCATTTGAAGCACCAGTGGAGCATTTGCATAGCAGTTTTCTTTCCCCTTCCTTTGCCTCGGCCCTCATGAGCACCTCATGAATGCAAATGAAATGGTGGTGGTGACCGGTAGGGGTATGAGCTTGTGTGAGTCACGGCGTGAGCTCTTACTCTTACTTAAACCCATTCCAGATGTTCTAGTTGTGACAGAAATCTGCTAAAAGGGGCTATATAATCTATAATATTTGGATTTTTAAAAAGAAAGCTTTGGTGATTGCAAAGTTGCACCAGTTGAGAAGAAGGAAGTCGAAGGCGCTCTGATTCTTGGTGGAGTGGAAGAGGTGGGAGTAGGTCCCAGAAAGGGAAACACGGGAGCAGAAGAGGAAGAAGAGATTCGAAAAGGCGGGCGTGTTTTGAGGGACTCCGGCCCGCTTTCAAGGGACCCAAATAATCAGTCTTCTGGATAGCATCAGTGTTTTTTTATTTTATTTATAGTCAAATTTATACCCCGCCCTCCCCGCAAATCAGGCTCAGGGCGGCTTCCAACAACAATACAACAGCACAGAATTAGAAGCATAAATAGTACAGAATTAAAACACAACAATTAAAATACTTCATTACAAATGTTACAAGTACTGGCAAAATTAGATGTTTTCACATGGAAGTGCTTCAATGTTATTCCACATAAGTGTTTTGGATGTTATTTTGCTCGTTATTGAGGCAGCTGCTGATGGTCAACATTACGGGCCGTGAACTAAGGCGGCGGCCCCTAGTGTTCCCTCTAAGCTGAGGTAGTGTGAGCTAGCTCACAGTTTTTTAGCCTCCAGCTCACACATTTTTGTCTCAGCTCAGGAAAGATGACTCCAGAGCAAGCTAATGTATGCAGCAGCCAAATCGCTTGCTTGCAACTCTAATGCCAGCAGCTCACAAAGTAGGATTTTTGCTCACAAGACTCCACAGCTTAGCAGGAGCATTGGATCGCATCCTCTCCTTGTAATCTTAGCTGTAAACTTTGCATTGCCCTGGAGTGTTTCCTTATGCTCTGCATGGAAAAGGGAGTTTCCCTTGCCTTCCATGTGCCTGGGAATGCTGCATCCCCTGCCCAGCTGGGGGCCGCTTTGGGACACCGCTCCCTGGCTCTGTTCCCGGCTCCTTCTTGCCTTTTAAGGCCGCGGCGAAGCCAAGAAGGAACTTGGCCTCGGCTGCTGGAGAAATCTCTGGCCAAGATCTTGGGCGGGGGACGACGACCCCTCAGCTCTTTCTGATGAACTGCTGCTGGGTGTTGGCTGCGTATCTTGGTATCCCCTGGACGACAGCTCCCGGTGCTGTGGCACGGCATGGAATTTCCCCCCCCCTCTGAGCACATTCCATGACTCAGTTGTTGAGAAGACTGTTCGGAAGGGAGATGTAGTTTTGGCCTGGCCGGGGGCACCCCTTCGGTCTGTGTTGGAGGACCGCATGCCTGTTGGTGTTGCGATTGAAGGAATAAGAACATAAGAGACGCCAATGTTGGATCAGGCCAAAGGCCCATCCAGTCCAACACTCTGTGTCACACAGGGGCCAGAAATACCAGGTGCCCTCAGGAGGTCCAGCAGTGGGGCCGGGACACTAGGAGTCCTCCCACTGTTGCCCCCCCCCAAGCACCAAAACAGAGCATCACTTGCCCCAGAGCCCCTATCTATACCTTGTGGCTAATAGCCACTGATGGACCTCTGCTCCATATGCTTATCTAATTCCCTCTTGAAGCCGTCCATACTTGTAGCTGCCACCACCTCCTGTGGTAGTAAATTCCATGTGTTAATCACTCTTTGGGTGAAGAAGTACTTCCTTTTATCCGTTCTAACCCGACCGCTCTGCAGTTTCATGGAGTGCCCACGAGTTCTTGTATTGTGAGAAAGGGAGAAAAGTACCTCTTTCTCTACCTGCTCTTTCCCATGCATAATCTTATAAACCTCAATCATGTCACCCCTCAGTCGTCGTTTCTCAAAGCTAAAGAGCCCTAAGCGCTTTAACCTTTCCTCATAGGGAAAGTGTTCCAACACTTTTATCATTCGAGTTGCCCTTTTCTGCACTTTTCCCAAAGCTATAATATCATTTTTAAGGTGTGGTGACCAGAACTACTCACAGTATTCCAGTATTCCGCCAGGTTGGGGCCAGGACGGAAAAGGCCCCGGCCCTGGTCGAGAACAGCCGGATGTCTTTACGGCTGGGGATCACACAGCTGCCTGCATGAATTTATTTTAACGTCGATTCATTATATCCTAGATAGCAACAAAACATAATCAGAGAACGGACACCATAAAGCCATGAAAGATTACAAAGTCATCCCATAGAATCATAGAGTTTGGAGGGACCTCCACGGTCATCTAGTCCAACCCCCTGCACAAGGCAGGAAATCCACAATCCGGTCAGTTACAGAACCCCACAAAGCAGAGATCCCCCCAGACAGGGTGCCCATGGGTGCATGGCACCCCCATCACCTTTCCTGGTGCCTATCAAGCGCATCTAAAAAGCAGGTGGGGACAGGTTGGACTTTTACCCAGCAGTGTCCCTGATTGGCCATCGAAGATTTGATAGGCTATGCAGATTTTTAAGAGTGTCGCTTTGGCGGCGGCCGCCACTACAGCACGAGGACCCCCATGGATTGACTGAAGGCAAGATGCAGCAGCTGTTGTGTGACTGGCTCCGCCTCGTGCGGCAGCCATTTTGTTGCTCCGCCCACCTCACTGTCTCAGAATTCCGTAGGTGCCTGCAGGCTCCAAGAGGTTGGGGTCCCTTGCCGTAGAGCATCCGGTTGAGTCAAGCCCCTTCCCTTTTGCAAATAAGTAAGCCTCAAACGGACATTGATCTCTTTGATTTTTGCAATCCAGCCCTGCATATTTGGGGCTAAATTCTGGTTCCCAAGTCCAGCAGAAACAATCCTTGCTACTTTGCCTGGAAGAGGCGAAAGCGCCTCGATCCTCCTTGGAAATCCTGCAGCGTTGTTCAAGAAGAGTAGTCCTGTAGAGGGATCTCAGGCTCACATCACCAGTTTCCACAAATCTTAGTCCAAAACTCAATAGCGAAAGAGGCGTTCTCGTATCTTCTGATATATAATCCAGACTACCCACATGTGTGTGTTGGGGGGGGGGGGGGGCTTTTGCCGCCAGGGGATAAATGGGCCAGGTGGGTTTTGTGGACTGGAAATTTATTTATTTATTTTATATATTTATTTGACTTATATATCGTCCTCCCTGGATGGGCTCAGGGCGGTGTGCAACAATTAAAATAGTACAATTAAAACAGCGTTAAAATAACCATTTGTACAGCGCAGTATCCTAAAGTACCATGTAAAAGTGGAGAGATCAGATGTTAAATCCGGTGTCTAATCAGATCCAGGCCACTGGTGGGTGATTGGCCAGAAGCTGGGGAGGAAGGGACGTCCGCTGCCTCAACCAAATGCCTTGTGGAAGAGCTCCATCTTGCAGGCCCTGCGGAATCAAATGCCTGGTGGAAGAGCTCCCATCTTGCAGGCTCTGCGGAACCAAATGCCTGGTGGAAGAGTTTCATCTTGCAGGCCCTGCGGAACCAAATGCCTGGTGGAAGAGCTCCATCTTGCAGGCCCTGCAGAACCAAATGCCTGGTGGAAGAGCTCCATCTTGCAGGCCCTGCAGAACCAAATGCCTGGTGGAAGAGCTCCATCTTGCAGGCCCTGCGGAACCAAATGCCTGGTGGAAGAGCTCCATCTTGCAGGCCCTGCGGAACCAAATGCCTGGTGGAAGAGCTCCATCTTGCAGGCCCTGCGGAACTGCAATAAGTCCCGCAGGGCCCTGATCTCATAGAGGAGCTCATTCTACCAGGTGGGGGCCAGGGCCGAAAAGGTCCTGGCCAAGGCTAATTGGATGTCCCTGGGGCCGGGGACCACGAAGAGATGTTGATTTGTGAGCCTCAGTGCCCTCTGGTGCTCATATTGGGACAATTGAGAGCCTTTGGGTTCTGTCCTGCTCCCCCTTTTGGGATTTCAGTTGCTGGTTGGTAGATGCTCAGCTCCCCCACAAAAAGGGGATGTCTTTTGTCTTTGGGCAACTCGGGTTTCGCTTCCTACTCCTCCTCGTTGTCATCTCTTTTCAAGGGTATATTAATTTCATGTTTTTAGTTTCTAAATTGACAAGCCAGGCGTGTGTGGTTTTCCAGTCGAGCCTGTGGCATTTTTACAGTGGAAACAAAGAGGGAAGCAAAAGCTTCAGCCCAGGAACACCAGATAACTAAAAGAGGTGGGGGTAAAACCCTATTAACAGGGTAATTTCTAATCGCGTACAAGATGTTAAATGAGCAAAGCTTTATTGCAGTGCAAAAAACAATTGAAAATCCATTAAAACCAAACACGTTTCTGCCACGCGCCCTTCTTCGGTGGTACAAATTATTAAAATACACACCATAAAGCAAAATTATTCAAAATACAACTTCTCTGACCTACTTCTTGTGTGTGAGAGTAATATAGATTAACCGTTTTGGAAGTTATACGTTTACATTTTATAAAGCCGTATGATCTTTTTTCTTCTCCCCTATTTCTTTTTTCAGGTTTTAAGGCTTGGATCAGAGGTGCTGCATTTTGTATTTTGAATAATTTCACTCCGTGGTGTGTGTTTTAATCATTTGTACCACTGAGGAGGGCCCTGCGGCCAAGACGTGTTTGGTTTTAATCAGGGGTCATTTCGTAGAAAAAGAGGTGCAGGTGCTTATTAGAATAACGCATTAGAATAACTCATTTGTATATGCCACTCCCCCTGACATCACCGGAAGTGTGTCAGAGGGCAACGCCCACCGCTCAGGCTCCACTGGACTGTTTTGGATTGCTAGCTATTGGAGGGGGGGACATGCAGATCTTTCCTCGCAGAGGAGGGAGAGCTTGTACCTGAATAAAACGTGGTCTCAAAGGTGCCACTGGACTGTTTTGGACCGGGGG